TGAAACAGTTACTGTAGGATGTGACATGACGGGTCGTGCGAGTGAAACAGTTACTGTAGGAAGTGACATGACGGGTCGTGCGAGTGAATCAGTTACTGTAGGAAGTGACATGACGGGTCGTGCGAGTGAAACAGTTACTGTAGGAAGTGACATGACGGGTCGTGCGAGTGAAACAGTTACTGTAGGATGTGACATGACGGGTCGTGCGAGTGAATCACTGTAGGAAGTGACATGACGGGTCGTGCGAGTGAAACAGTTACTGTAGGAAGTGACATGACGGGTCGTGCGAGTGAAACAGTTACTGTAGGATGTGACATGACGGGTCGTGCGAGTGAATCACTGTAGGAAGTGACATGACGGGTCGTGTGAGTGAAACAGTTACTGTAGGAAGTGACATGACGGGTCGTATACAGTGACGTAGGATTGACATGACGTAGTGACGGGTCGAGCGAGTGAATCAGTTATTGCAAGAAGTGACATGACGGGTCGTGCGAGTGAAACAGTTACTGTAGGAATTGACATGACATGTAGGAAGTTATACATGACGGGTCGAGCGAGTGAATCAGTTATTGCAAGAAGTGACATGACGGATCGAGCGAGTAAAACATTTACTGTAGGAATAACATGACGGGTCGAGCGAGTAAAACAGTTACTGTAGGAAGTGACATGACGAGTCGAGCGAGTGAAACAGTTACTATAGGAATGATATGACTGGTCGTGCGAGTGAATCAGTTACTGTAGGAAGTGACATGACGGGTCGTGCGAGTGAAACAGTTACTGTAGGACGTGACATGACGGGTCGTGCGAGTGAAACAGTGACTGTAATAAGTGACATGGCGGGTCGAGCGAGTGAAACAGTGACTGTAATAAGTGACATGAAGGGTCGTGCGAGTGAATCGGTTACTCCAGGATGTGACATTAAAGGTCGTGCGAGTGAATCGGTTACTCTAGGTTGTGACACGACGCGTCGTGCCAGTGAAACAGTTACTGTAGGTAGTGACATGACGGGTCGTGCGAGTGAAACAGTTACTGTAGGAAGTGACATGACGGGTCGTGAGAGTTAAACAGTTACTGTAGGAAGTGACATGACGAGTCGAGCGAGTGAAACGCTCACTGCAGAAAGTGACATGACGGGTAGTGCGAGTAAAACAGTTACTGTAGGATGTGACATGACGGGTCGTGCGAGTGAAACAGTTACTGTAGGATGTGACATGACGGGGCGTGCGAGAGAATCACTGTAGGACGTGACATGACGGGGCGTGCGAGTGAAACAGTTACTGTAGGAAGTGACATGACGAGTCGTGCGAGTGAAACAGTTACTGCAGGATGTGACATGACGGGTCGTGCGAGTGAAACAGTTACTCTAGGAAGTGACATGACGAGGCGTGCCAGTGAAACAGTTACTGTAGGAAGTGACATGACGAGTCGTGCGAGTGAAACAGTTACTGTAGGAATGACATGACGGGTCGTGCGAATGAAACAGTTACTGTAGGATGTGACATGACGGGTCGTGCGAGTGAATCATTTACTGTAGGAAGTAACATAACGGGTCGTGTGAGTGAAACAGTTATTGTAGGATATGACATGACAGGTCGTGCGAGTGAAACATTTACTGTGGGAAGTGACATGACGGGTCGTGTGAGTGAAACAGTTACTGTAAGATGTGACATGACAGGTCGTGCGAGTGAAACAGTTACTGTAGGATGTGACATGACAGGTTGTGTGAATGAAACAGTTACTGTAGGAAGTGACATGACGGATCGTGCGAGTGAAACAGTTACTGTAGGATGTGACATGACCGGTCGTGCGAGTGAAACAGTTACTGTAGGATGTGACATGACGGGTCGTGCGAGTGAAACAGTTACTGTAGGATGTGACATGACGGGTCGTGCGAGTGAAACATTTACTGTAGGATGTGACATGACGGGTCGTTCGAGTGAATCAATTACTGTAGGTAGTTTTACATGACGGGTCGTGCGAGTGAAACATTTACTGTAGGATGTGACATGACGGGTCGTGCGAGTGAATCAGTTACTGTAGGTAGTTTTACATGACAGGTCGTGCGAGTTAATCAGTTACTGTAGGTAGTTTTACATGACAGGTCGTGCGAGTTAATCAGTTACTGTAGGTAGTTTTACATGACGGGTCGTTTGAGTGAATCAGTTACTGTATGACGTGACATGACGGATCGTACCAGTGAAAGAGTTACTCTAGAAAGTGACATGACGGGTAGTTCGAGTGAAACAGTTACTGTAGGACGTGACATGACGGGTCGTGCGAGTGAAACAGTTACTATAGGATGTGACATGACGGGGCGTGCCAGTGAATCACTGTAGGACGTGACATGACTAGTCGTTCCAGTGAAACAGTTACTCTAGGAAGTGACATGACGGGTCGTGCGAGTGAAACAGTTACTCTAGAAAGTGACATGACGGGGCGTGCCAGTGAAACAGTTACTGTAGGAAGTGACATGACGAGTCGTGCGAGTGAAACAGTTACTGCAGGATGTGACATGACGGGTCGTGCGAGTGAAACAGTTACTGTAGGAAGTGACATGACGAGGCGTGCCAGTGAAACAGTTACTGTAGGAAGTGACATGACGAGTCGTGCGAGTGAAACAGTTACTGTAGGAATGACATGACGGGTCGTGCGAATGAATCAGTTACTGTAGGTAGTTTTACATGACGGGTCGTGCGAGTGAAACAGTTACTGTAGGATGTGACATGACGGGTCGTGCGAGTGAATCATTTACTTTAGGAAGTGACATGACGGATCGTGCGAGTGAAACAGTTACTGTAGGATGTGACATGACCGGTCGTGCGTGTGAAACAGTTACTGTAGGATGTGACATGACGGGTCGTGCGAGTGAAACAGTTACTGTAGGATGTGACATGACGGGTCGTGCGAGTGAAACATTTACTGTAGGATGTGACATGACGGGTCGTTCGAGTGAATCAATTACTGTAGGTAGTTTTACATGACGGGTCGTGCTAGTGAAACATTTACTGTAGGATGTGACATGACGGGTCGTTCGAGTGAATCAATTACTGTAGGTAGTTTTACATGACGGGTCGTGCGAGTGAAACATTTACTGTAGGATGTGACATGACGGGTCGTGCGAGTTAATCAGTTACTGTAGGTAGTTTTACATGACAGGTCGTGCGAGTTAATCAGTTACTGTAGGTAGTTTTACATGACAGGTCGTGCGAGTTAATCAGTTACTGTAGGTAGTTTTACATGACGGGTCGTTTGAGTGAATCAGTTACTGTAGGATGTGACATGACGGGTCGTTCAAGTGAATCAATTACTCTAGAAAGTGATATTACGTGTAGCAGATATTTTCAGTCAGTTTATACAAATTTACCCACTTAATGAAAGCACCGAGTGTAAGACATACATTTACAGACTGACATGACAGCATTGAGTGTAAGACATAAATTTACTTACTTACATGACAGCACCGATTGTCATCATCATCAGGTGCCTTGCTGACTGGCGTGGCGATCATGCCTCTCCATAATCTGTGATCTCCCGCAGCATATATCAGTTCGTGTGCCGACACACATCCATGCCATGCATCAAGACTGTCAAGCATCTTCTCTCGTTGTCTTCCTCTATCCCTCCATTCACAGATCTTTCTAGTGATCGCAACATATTCTATTTTCCCTCTTCTCATAACATGGCCGAAAAATAATGACTGTCTCCTTCTGATGTCTGTGATAAGTTGTCTTTGGGCTTTCGCCTCTTTTAAAACCTCTTGGTTACTCTTTTTGGCTGTCCAAGGAATTCTAAAACCACATCTCTGAGGCCTCAACAAATTGTTTGGCCTGCCTAGCGATTGTCCAGGATTCACAGCCATATGTTAAAACTGGATGTATGTAGCAAGCAAGAATTCTTTTTTTAACCCTCAATGACAAAGATATATTGCACAAGATGTTTTTAATTTTATAAAATGCAGTTTTTGCCTGTCCTATTCTGTTTCTTATCTCAGTTATGCATCTTCCATCTGATGTTATCCATGTGCCCAGATACTTAAATGTATGTACTTGTTCTTAAATAACACCATCGACTTTTATTACACATTTAGGAATAATTCGTTTCTTTGATCCCACCATTACTTCTGTCTTCCCATTATTCAAAATGAGGCCCATTCTTCCACTTTCCAACACCACAATGTCTATCATTTCCTGTAGTTCTTTCTGACTGATAGCACCTAGTGTAAGACATAAATTTACTTACTGACATGACAACACCGAGTGCAAGACATTAATTTACCGCCTGACACGACAACACCGAATGTAAGACATACATTTACTAACTGACATAACAGAATCAAGTGTAGGACATGAATTTACCGACTGACATTACAGTATTGAATGTGAAACATAAATTTACCCACTGGCATAACAGAATTGAGTGTGAGACATAAATTTACTGACTGACATAACAGAATTGAGTGTGTGACATAAATTTACCGACTGACATAACAGAATTGAGATAAATTTACCGACTGACATGACAGTACCGAGTTTAAGACAAACATTTACCGACTGACATGACAGTACCGAGTTTAAGACACACATTTACCGACTGACATGACAGTACCGAGTTTAAGACAAACATTTACCGACTGACATGACAGTACCGAGTTTAAGACAAACATTCGAGAACAAAAATACAAGTCTCACTCCAAAAATGGCTCTGGCAGGATATAGTTTTGTGTCACTGCTCGTGTCGAATAGAGCCTGGGGACTCAGTTGTGTGGTCAAGTGGTCACTGCTCGTGTCGAATAGAGCCTGGGGACTCAGTTGTGTGGTCAAGTGGTCACTGCTCGTGTCGAATAGAGCCTGGGGACTCATTTGTGTGGTCAAGTGGTCACTGCTCGTGTCGAATAGAGCCTGGGGACTCAGTTGTGTGGTCAAGTGGTCACTGCTCGTGTCGAATAGAGCCTGGGGACTCAGTTGTGTGGTCAAGTGGTCACTGTACGGTGTATGTTCCAGCCACGGCCCGTCTCCCTGGACGTTCTGCTCATGGAGGCATCCTCGCGTGCTGGTCTAGTGGGCCTGCAGACAGCCCTGAACGTGACCCAGGACGTCAACTACCAAGTTCTCCGCCTTCACTCAGAGACTACCCGGAGGAAGCATTCGGACCCTCATGTAAGTGTGGCTTGTTGTATCTACGTGAGCTGAGAGTGGGAGTGTGTGGATGGGAAGGGGGTGTATCTATTTGTATCTTCCTGTCAATTTTGTACGTAAGTCACATGGAAGCGAGTGGGTTTGTGTGTGTTTGAGTGAGAAAGAAAGATATATATATATATATATATATATATATATATATATATATATATATATATATATATATATATATGTATGTATATATATATATGTATATATACATAGATGAGAGAGAGAGAGAGAGAGAGAGAGAGAGAGAGAGAGAGAGAGAGAGAGAGAGAGAGAGAGAGAGAGAGTTAGTTTAATATTGGATATATCAGTAAAGAAATACTAGATTAAACTACTAAATAACAGTGCAAACTTTTTCTGTGGCTGGTTTTGATCTACTAGAAAACAGTGCAAATATGTTCCGTGGCTGGTTTTGATCTACTAGAAAACAGTGCAAACTTTTTCTGTGGCTGGTTTTGATCTACTAGAAAACAGTGCAAATATGTTCCGTGGCTGGTTTTGATCTACTTGATAATAGTGCCAACATGTTCCGTGGCTGGTTTTGATCTACTAGAAAAAAAGTGCCAACATGTTCCGTGGCTGGTTTTGATCTACTAGAAAAAAAGTGCAAATATGTTCCGTGGCTGGTTTTGATCTACTAGATAATAGTGCCAACATGTTCCGTGGCTGGTTTTATTTCTTTCCTATTGAGTGACGTAACAAACATTAAAACAAGCGAACTGCTTACCATTTTAAAACCTCGGTACACCATCACAGGAGTACTTGCTTTCTCTTTCTATTGAAGTTGACCCATTCATTGTCTTTGTATTGAAGTTGACCCATTCATTGTCTTTGTATTGAAGTTGACCCATTCATTGTCTTTGTATTTAAGTTGACCCATTCATTGTCTTTGTATTTAAGTTGACCCTTTCATTGTCTTTGTATTTAAGTTGACCCTTTCATTGTCTTTGTACTGAAGTTGACCCATTCATTGTCTTTGTATTGAAGTTGACCCTTTCATTGTCTTTGTATTTAAGTTGACCCTTTGATTGTCTTTGTCAGCAATCTATTATTGTTATTATTGTTATTATTTGTTGCAACAACCCCGTTAGAGCAGAAACGTAGAGTCAACAATTAAAGCATGTCAGTGGTTGACTGAGATAATCGTGATCAGTTGGACATGAGTGAGAAATTTATATCTGTGCACTTGGACATAAGTGAGTTATGTGCACTTGGACATGAGTGAGTGAGTTATGTGCACTTGGACATGAGTGAGTGAGTTATGTGCACTTGGACATAAGTGAGTTATGTGCACTTGGACATGAGTGAGTGAGTTATGTGCACTTGGACATGAGTGAGTGAAATATGTGCACTTGGACATGAGTGAATGAGTTATTTATTTGCACTTGGACATGGTGAGTGAGTTATTTATGTGCTTTTGGAGATGAGTGAGTTGTTTATGTGCGCTTAGACCTGAGTGAGTTATTTAAGTGGCATTGGACCTGAGTGAGTGAGTTATTTATGTGGCCTTGGACCTGTGTGAGTAAGTTATTAATGAGGGCTTGGACATCAATAAGTGAGTTGTTTATGTGAGCTTGGACATGAATGATTAAGTTATTTATGTGGGCTGGGACGAAAGTGAGTGAGTTATTTATGTAAACTTGGACTTAAGAGTGAGTGAGTTATTTATCTGCGCCATGATGAGAATGAGTGAGTTATTTATGTGACCTTGGATATGAGAGTGAGTTATTTGTGGCCTTGGACATGAGTGAGTTATTTATGTGGCCTTGGATATGAAAGTGAGCGAGTTATTTATGTGGGCTTAAACAAGAGTGAGTGAGTAATTTATGTGCACTTGGACAAAGTTAAGTTAATCATGCTGTTGTATATGTTTCGGTTAACCATGAGTTAATGGATATGACTGAGAAAGTTAATTATGATTTGTTGGATATGAATGAATTAACTCATTCAGCCCCACAAGAGCCTAGCTAATGTCCGAGAGAGTTAATGGCAATACTAAACATATGGGTATACTACATCTAGAGGTGCTAGATATACAACCCTAGTAGGAAACAAATATGTTGTCAGAGTCCTTCAGAGTTCTACAGTGAACATTAGATATACAAAACAGCTCACAGAACAGGCTGACTGGTAGACTCAATAATACGCAGTCATGGCATTGTTTGAGATGGAAGTAGTCAATCACAAGCTTTAATGCACAGCTGAATGAGTTAACCACGAGCTTCAGTGCACCTAGGAGTCAGTTAATCATGAACTTCAGGGAATAGCTGAGTGAGTTAATCATGAACTTCAGGGAATAGCTGAGTGAGTTAATCATGAACTTCAGGGAATAGCTGAGTGAGTTAATCATGAACTTCAGGGAATAGCTGAGTGAGTTAATCATGAACTTCAGGGAATAGCTGAATGAGTTGATCAAAAACTTCAGGGAAAAGTTGAGTAAGTTAATCATGAACTTCAGGGAGTAGCTGAGTGAGTTTATCATGAGTTGTAGGCCATAGCTGAGTGAGTTAATGACACACTTCTAATCACTAATATTTAACTGTTTCGGCAGCTGAAGTTTTACCTTGAGGAAGGCCTCTTGGCTCACAAGACGGACACCATCAAGAAGCTGGGCGACCTGATCCATCAGTTGGCCAGTTACCCGGATGAGGACTACGATCTTGGAGAGTATCTCCTGGACCTTCAGATCGGTCAAGGTCAAGGGTACGGTATCCCCAAGTAACATGGTCGTCTATGACATGGTTGAGTGAATGTATCACGTGACATATTTCAAGCGTCAGGGTAAGGAGCGGCTAGATCTATCAACATCATCATTATCATCGCAAAATATGACAGCATCAGAGCTTCCTCAACATTCCACCGAAAAGATGTCTGTTTTCAGTTCGGCAAACGTCTGCACTGTGAGATCTGTATCTTGTGTCGTTTCTGTGTCTTGTGTCGTTTCTGTGTCTTGTGTCGTTTCTGTGTCTTGTGTCGTTTCTGTGTCTTGTGTCGTTTCTGTGTCTTGTGTCGTTTCTGTGTCTTGTGTCGTTTCTGTGTCTTGTGTCGTTTCTGTGTCTTGTGTCGTTTCTAAGTCTTGTGTCGTTTCTGTGTCTTGTGTAGTTTCTGTGTCTTGTGTCGTTTCTGTGTCTTGTGTCGTTTCTGTGTCTTGTGTCGTTTCTGTGTCTTGTGTCGTTTCTGTGTCTTGTGTCGTTTCTGTGTCTTGAGTCGTTTCTGTGTCTTGAGTCGTTTCTGTGTCTTGTGTCGTTTCTGTGTCTTGTGTCGTTTCTGTGTCTTGTGTCGTTTCTGTGTCTTGTGTCGTTTCTGTGTCTTGTGTCGTTTCTGTGTCTTGTGTCGTTTCTGTGTCTTGTGTCGTTTCTGTGTCTTGTGTCGTTTCTGTGTCTTGTGTCGTTTCTGTGTCTTGTGTCGTTTCTGTGTCTTGTGTCGTTTCTGTGTCTTGTGTAGTTTCTGTGTCTTGTGTCGTTTCTGTGTCTTGTGTCGTTTCTGTGTCTTGTGTCGTTTCTGTGTCTTGTGTCATTTCTGTGTCTTGTGTCGTTTCTGTGTCTTGTGTCGTTTCTGTGTCTTGTGTAGTTTCTGTGTCTTGTGTCGTTTCTGTGTCTTGTGTAGTTTCTGTGTCTTGTGTCGTTTGTGTGTCTTGTGTCATTTCTGTGTCTTGTGTCGTTTCTGTGTCTTGTGTCATTTCTGTGTCTTGTGTCGTTTCTGTGTCTTGTGTCGTTTCTGTGTCTTGTGTCGTTTCTGTGTCTTGTGTCGTTTCTGTGTCTTGTGTCGTTTCTGTGTCTTGTGTCGTTTCTGTGTCTTGTGTCGTTTCTGTGTCTTGTGTCGTTTCTGTGTCTTGTGTCGTTTCTGTGTCTTGTGTCGTTTCTGTGTCTTGTGTCGTTTCTGTGTCTTGTGTCGTTTCTGTGTCTTGTGTCATTTCTGTGTCTTGTGTCGTTTCTGTGTCTTGTGTTGTTTCTGTGTCTTGCGTCAATCAGTGGATACCCCTAGCTACAACACACACGTGACCTGTATTATCTTGAGTGCAGTCACCCTTATTTTCAACTATTAGCCAGCTAGAGAGTACATACAAACAATCATCAAATAAAGGGTACACAGACTCCATTAACTGGCTATTACACACAGCAACAATCACTAATTGGGGAGTTTAGACATCAGCAGTCACCAACAATCATTAACAAGGAAGATCAGACAGTCACGGTCATTCACTGGTGAGATTAGACAGCAACAATCATTCACTGGTGAGATTAGAGAGCAACAATCATTTACTGGTGAGATTAGACAGCAACAATCATTCACTGGTGAGATTAGACAGTCACGGTCATTCACTGGTGAGATTAGACAGCAACAATCAGTCACTGGTGAGATTAGACAGCAACAATACTTCACTGGTGAGATTAGACAGCAACAATCATTCACTGGTGAGATTAGACAGCAACAATCATTCACTGGTGAGATTAGACAGCCACGGTCATTCACTAGTGAGATCAGACAGTCACGGTCATTCAATGGTGAGATCAGACAGCCTCAATCATTCACTAGTGAGATTAGACAGCCACGGTCATTCACTGGGGAGATTAGACAGTCACGGTCATTCACTGGTGAGATCAGACAGCCACGGTCATTCAATGGTGAGATCAGACAGTCACGGTCATTCACTGGTGAGATAAGACAGTCACGGTCATTCACTGGTGAGATCAGACAGCCGCGGTCATTCACTGGTGAGATTAGACAGCCACGGTCATTCACTGGTGAGATCAGACAGCCACGGTCATTCACTGGTGAGATCAGACAGCCACGGTCATTCACTGGTGAGATCAGACAGTCACGGTCATTCACTGGTGAGATCAGACAGCAACAATCATTCACTGGTGAGATCAGACAGCAACAATCATTCACTGGTGAGATTAGACAGTCACGGTCATTCACTGGTGAGATCAGACAGTCACAGTCATTCACTGGAGAGATTAGACAGTCACGGTCATTCACTGGTGAGATTAGACAGCCACGGTCATTCACTGGTGAGATCAGACAGTCAAGGTCATTCACTGGTGAGATCAGACAGTCATGGTCATTCACTGGTGAGATCAGACAGCCACAATCATTCACTGGTGAGATCAGACAGTCACGGTCATTCACTGGGGAGATTAGACAGTCACGGTTATTCACTGGTGAGATTAGACAGTCACGGTCATTCACTGGTGAGATTAGACAGCCACGGTCATTCACTGGGGAGATTAGACAGTCACGGTCATTCACTGGTGAGATCAGACAGCAACAATCATTCACTGGTGAGATTAGACAGTCACGGTCATTCACTGGTGAGATTAGACAGCCACGGTCATTCAGTGGTGAGATTAGACAGTCACGGTCATTCACTGGTGAGATCAGACAGCCACGGTCATTCACTGGTGAGATTAGACAGCAACAATCATTCACTGGTGAGATTAGACAGCCACGGTCATTCACTGGTGAGATTAGACAGCAACAATCATTCACTGGTGAGATTAGACAGCAACAATCATTCACTGGTGAGATTAGACAGCCACAATCATTCACTGGTGAGATTAGACAGACACGGTCATTCACTGGTGAGATTAGACAGTCACGGTCATTCACTGGTGAGATTAGACAGCAACAATCATTCACATGTGAGATCAGACAGCAACAATCATTCACTGGTGAGATTAGACAGCCACGGCCATTCACTGGTGAGATCAGACAGCAACAATCATTTACTTGTGAGATTAGACAGTCACGGTCATTCACTGGTGAGATCAGACAGTCACTGTCATTAACTGGTGAGATTAGACAGCAGCAATCATTAACTAGGGAAATCAGACAGCAACAATCACTAACTGGAGAGATCAGACAACAATAATAACCTACTGGGGAGATCAGACAGAAATAATCACTAACTGGGGAGATCAGACAGAAATAATCACTAACTGGGGGAGATCAGACAGAAATAATCACTAACTGCGGAGATCAGACTAAAACAATAACTCACTGGGGAGATCAGACAACAACAATGATTAACTGGGGAGATCAGAAAGCAACAATCATTAATTTGGGAGATCAGACAGCAACAATTATTAATTTGGGAGATCAGACAGCAACAATTATTAATTTAGGAAATCAGACAGCAAAAATTATTAATTTGGGAAATCAGACAGCAACAATCACTAGCTGGGGAGATCATACAGCAACAATCACTAGCTGGGGAGATCAGACAGCAACAATCACTAGCTGGGGAGATCAGACAGCAACAATCACTAGCTGGGGAGATCAGACAGCAAATATAATTACCTTAATTATATGTTACCTAATGATTCACTGATCCATGCACTAATGATGCTCTAATCTGTGCACTCATTATGCACTGATCCCTGCACTCATGATGCACTGATCTATGCACTAATGATGCACTGATCTATGCACTAATGATGTACTGATCCATGCACTAATGATGCACTGATCAATGCATTCATGATGCACTGATCCATACATTCATGATGCACTGATTCATGCACTGATCCATGCACTCATGATGCACTGATCCATGCACTAATGATGCTCTGATCTGTGCACTCCTTATGCACTGATCCATGCATTCATGATGCACTGATCCATACATTCATGATGCACGGATCCATGCACTAATGATGCACTGATCCATGCACTCAAGATGCACTGATCTATGCACTAATGATCCATGCATTCATGATGCACTGATCCATGCACTAATGATGCACTGATCCATGCACTAATGATGCACTGATCCATACATTCATGATGCACTGATCCATACATTCATGATGCACTGATCCATACATTCATGATGCACTGATCCATACATTCATGATGCACTGATCCATACATTCATGATGCACTGATCCATGCACTCAAGATGCACTGATCTATGCATTCATGATGCACTGATCCATGCACTCATGATGCACTAATCTATCCAATAATGATGCACTTATCCATGCATTCAGGATGTACTAATGATGCACTGATCTATGCATTCATGATGCACTGATCCATGCACTCATGATGCACTAATCTATCCAATAATGATGCACTTATCCATGCATTCAGGATGTACTAATGATGCACTGGTCTGTGAACTAATGACTCCAACTGTCCCACCAGTTTGCCAGTTATAAAAGTATTATGTCAATGGCAACAGTATCTAGTGTATTTTACTATTTCTTTCAACAACACAACTTTATTCCAAGTCACTCTAGGATCTCTGTATTCAGATCACTGATCCAAGACCTGACATACTGATCCATGACATACTGATCTATAACTTAACAAATGATCTGTGACTTCAGGCACTCATCTAAGGCTTCACACACCGATCTGTGGCTTCATACACTGATCTGTGACTTCATACACTGATCTGTGACTTCACACACTGATCTGTGACTTCACACAATAATCTGTGACTTCATAAACTGATCTGTGACTTCACACACTGATCTGTGACTTCATACACTGATCTATGACTTCACACACTGATCTGTGACTTCATAAACTGATCTGTGACTTCACACACTGATCTGTGACTTCACACACTGATCTGTGACTTCACACACTGATCTGTGACTTCACACACTGATCTGTGACTTCATACACTCATCTATGACTTCACACACTGATCTGTGACTTCACACACTGATCTGTGACTTTACAAATGATCTGTGACTTCATACACTGATATGTGACTTCATACACTGATCTTGTGACTTCATACACTGATCTGTGACTTCATACACTGATCTGTGACTTCATACACTGATCTGTGACTTCACACAATGATCTGTGACTTCACACACTGATCTGTGACTTCATACACTGATCTGTGACTTCACACACTGATCTGTTACTTCACACACTGATCTGTGATGTCACACACTGATCTGTGACTTCACACAAATGATCTGTGACCTCAAAAATGATGTGATCTCTGCTCTAAAAACTATTACAGGTCTGTGATCTAACAAATGATACACTGGTCTACACACAGCTAAGGGTTTTATGAGAAAATACATTCATACCTTTACCCACTTGATTTCTTTCTTTTTTACAATTTATTTATTAGTAACAGAAGATATAAAGAAACATTAAAGAGCTTTGCAGTCATGAAACCATAGAAGCACACTTGAGAGAAGACATTTCAAAAGATGAGGATATGATGAGGGCAACACTCAACAATTCAAACAATTAAAAGCAGCAACTAATCAATGACAGTCAAATAAAAAAAAAAAAAGTTATAAACATTGGCAATAAATGTAAAATAACAGCTGAACTGTGAAATAATTTTAAAATAACAACTAACACTGACAGTGAAATTAAAACAGCTAAAATGTGATCAAAACAACAGCCAAAGACTGAGTTTATTGACCACAACAACTAAAAACTAACAGTCAATTTACCACAGCAACTGAAATCTAACAGTCAATTTATAACGGTAACTAAAAACTGACAGTAAATGTACTACAGCAACTAAAAACTGACAGTAAATGTACTAAAGCAACTAAAAACTGACAGTAAATGTACTAAAGCAAACTAAAAACTGACAGTAAATGTACTAAAGCAAACTAAAAACTGACAGTAAATGTACTAAAGCAAACTACAAACTGACAGTAAATGTACTAAAGCAAACTACAAACTGACAGTAAATGTACTAAAGCAACTAAAAACTGACAGTAAATGTACTAAAGCAACCTAAAAACTGACAGTAAATGTACTAAAGCAAACTAAAAACTGACAGTAAATGTACTAAAGCAAACTACAAACTGACAGTAAATGTACTACAGCAACTAAAAACTGACAGTAAATTTACTACAGCAACTAAAAACTGAAAGTCAATTTACCATGGCAACTAAAAACTTACAGTCAATTTAC